GAGCCACCTTCCCAGCCCCTGGACTGTGATCTTTCTATTTGTTCTTCTCCGTCTTCCTGTATAACAGGCACCTGCCACCATGTTCTGCCATTGTGCTTCCCTGTAGTATGGAATAACAGGAATATATTCCTGTTGCTAGCCAGTTGAAATGGAGTCTTGAGTGCTTTTTTATTGCTCAGGATGACCTTGAACCATTGTCCTTTAATCACTACTTCCAGAGTACCTAGGATAACAGGCTTTAGCTATGATGCCCAGCTTTTTTGTTGTTGTTTAAAGTTTGTTTTTGTTTTAAACTTGAGACAGGATCTTGCTGTATACAGCCCATACTGGCCTCAAAGTAAATATCCTCTTGAATCAGCCTTCTGAGTTCTAAGATTGCTGGTGTGTGCTACCACACCCAACCTCTGTTGCTTTTTGCTAGGCTATTACACACATTTATAGGAACATTTATAGACAGATGTTAGTGTGAGCATATGCTTTCATTTCTTTTAGATAGGAATGCCATTACTGGAGAACATGGTAGTAGTAGTAGCCTATCTTTAGCTTTTTGAGGAATCACCAGACTATTTTTCAAAGTGGCTACACCACTTTATATTTCTACTAGCAATGTGTGAATGTTTTTTCACATTCTTAGCAACAGTTGCTGTTCTCTGACTTAAAATTATGGTGGATGTGAAGTATCTTAATATGGTTTTGATTTGCATTTTCCTAATGACGATGTTGAATATTCAAATACTTTGCTTACTTTAAACTTACATTTAAGTACTAAGTTGTAAGAATTCTTTATATATTCAGAATGTCAGTTGCTTATCAGATACATGATTTGTGGTTGTTATCTGTAGTTCACCTTCTTTGCTTCCTGGTATTCTGTTGTTAGACTCCTCTCTGTTTTCCATTAGATTCTTTCAAATACAAAAGAATAAATTCTATGTAGCCATAAACCAATTTGAACAATTATCAACCTACTGCCATTTATATTATAACCATTGCTCATTATGCTGTCAGACACTAGATCATTTTGAAACTATTTCCAAATATCCTGTTACCTCTCAATATTTTAGTAGGTATCTCCAAAAGATAATATTTTTTTTGGGGGGGGGTCCGGTCATGGGGCCTGAGCTCTGGGTTTGGGCGCTGTCCCTCAGCTCTTCAGCACAAGGCTAGCGCCCTGCCACTTGAGCCACAGCACCACTTCCGGTTTCTTTTTTTTTGCTTATGTGGTGCTGAGGAATCGAAGCCAGGGCCTCATGCATGCAAGGCAAGAGCTCTACCACTGAGCCATCTCCCCAGCCCAAAAGATAATATTTTTAAAGCCATATTGGAGTGTGAACTCCGGATTTTCTTGAGTGCTGGGATTATAGGTGTGTATTACCACACCTGGTTTGTTCATTCCTTGTTCAATCATTTGTCCCTTCTACTTCTGGTTTTTTGGTTATTAACTGGAGATAAGAGTCTTACCAATATCCTGCCCATGCCAGCTTCAAACCTCCATCCTATGATCTCAGCCTTCTGAGTAGCTAGGATATCAGGTGTGAACCACCAGTGCCCAGCCTTTTTTGTTTTTTTTTGGGTCCGGTCGTGGGGCCTGAACTCTGGGCCTGGGCGCTGTCCCTCAGCTCTTCAGCTCAAGGCTAGCGCCCTGCCACTTGAGCCACAGCACCACTTCCGGTTTCTTTTTTTTTGCTTATGTGGTGCTGAGGAATCGAACCCAGGGCCTCAGGCATGCAAGGCAAGCACTCTACCGCTGAGCCACCTTCCCAGCCCCTTTTTTCTTTTGCATTACTGAAGAAATTGTTTGGTAGATGTGGACTCCCTTAAAAAAAAAAAAAAAAAAAAAAGCAAACCCAAGGCCAGGGAGGCATGTAGTACAAAGCTTGATGTTGGAGTCAGAAATCTAAGTAATGTTTACCTTGTCTAGGTTGGCATGGCTCTGTTTTCTTATTACTAAAGTGGGCCAAGTATTTTCCACATTTCTTCTGAAGAATTACTTTACATAATACGCAAAGGAATATTGAAAACTTCAAAATAGTAGTTTTTTTTAAATTCACTTAGGCTATAGGAGGCAAACATTTTTAGTGGCTAGAATTAACAGGAAATGATCAACCTGAGTTGTCTTTGTTGCTAGGACCTTCCTCCCTCCCTTGCCTCTTTCCTTCCTTCCTTCCTTCCTTCCTTCCTTCCTTCCTTCCTTCCTTCCTTCCTTCCTTCCTTCCTCTCTCCCTCCCTCTCTCTCTTTCTTCTTTGTTTCTTTTTTTTTTCTTCTTTGTTTCTTTTTTGTTGTTGGACAAGGGGCTTGGACTTCGGGCCTGGGCATTGTTCTTGAGTTCAGGGCTAGTGATCTACCACTTTGAGCCATAGTACCACTCCTAGTTTTCTGGTGGTTAATTGGAGAACAGAGTCTCCCTGGACATTTCTGCCTGGGCTGACTTTGAATTGTGATCCTCATATCTCAGCTTCCTGAGTAGGGTTATAGGCATGAGCCACCAATGCTTAACATATATTATTTGTACAAGTGTGAGCTTCTTTGTGACATTTCCACACATGTACAAATGTATTCCCGTCAACCTCAACCCCCTAGCGCTTTCCCTTATCCCATATCCCCTTCTTAAAAAAATTTCAGCATGTTTCATTGTTCTAATTTTGTGTAGACAAAGAAACCTGGACTATCCTGCAAGTGCCCCCTCACCCAACAGAGCCTGTTTAAAACCTTTTTCTTAACTGTGCACACTGGGAGAATTCAAATGAGTGTCTTTAGATAGGTGTTACAGAAACCCAGGGTATTGTTCCTTTTCTCTTTCAGAAGACCTGGACGGGGCTGGAGGAGAGGAGTACCCCATGGATATTTGGCTGTTGTTGGCTTCCTACATCCGTCCTGAGGACATTGTAAACTTCTCCCTGATTTGTAAGAATGCCTGGACTGTCACTTGTACTGCTGCCTTTTGGACCAGGTTGTACCGAAGGTGCGACCACAGAGAGCTCACTGTTTTCTCTGTAGCCAATTTCAGTGCTGTTTGGGATCTGGAGCTTCTCTTTGGATTCTGCCCTTCCCTTTTTTTTTTCCTCCTTCCTGAGTATGACACTAGATTTGGACTCCTTGCTTCCTCTCTAAATTTAATAGGTTTGTTCAGGTAATTGTTTTCCTTGTGGTTCCAGTATCTGCTTTTAGCAGACTGTTGTTTTTGTCCTAGAAAGAACTGACTCAAAACTTTTCTTAAGAGAAAAACATCTTAGCTAGGATGTTTAAAAGCTACAGATGTTTGTTTCTTTCTCCACTGGATTTGTTACTGTCTAGCTTTTTCTAGACTTCTGCAGGGACCACAGTTTTTGTAGCTATGCTACCCTATGTAGAATCGTAGTGCTGAGGAGTGAGTGAATCATAGGATCAGCGAAAGCACTATTTATCTTCTGATGTGAGTACAGAAGTGGAGATTGTAAGCTGGAAGGATATAGTAGGTGCATGTTGATGTAGCAGAGAGTAGAGAACTTGCTGAACCAAATGACAGGGAACCTGGGGGCTCTTAACCAGAGCAGGTTCTTTTGAGCAGCTGAAATATATAGGTATCAATACAAAGACTTGCTCCTTTGTATAGTACAGTCATGTGGATTTAAACATTTTCAAAGGGTGAGAAAATACATGAATATAAGATGGAAGAAGCAGAAGTTGTCGAGGAGTTAAGGAAATGGTTATTTGTATGTGTGCCAGCCAAGTACCAAGTGGAAAAGTGTAGCAAAGCTCATCCAGAGACCAGGAGACCTATTAGTTGGAGTAATGTGTCATGTTCCAGGCACTACACGCTGGATGCCTCTCTGCCTTTGCGCCTGCGACCAGAGTCAATGGAGAAGCTGCGCTGTCTCCGGGCATGTGTGATCCGATCTCTGTACCATATGTATGAACCATTTGCTGCTCGAATCTCCAAGAATCCAGCCATTCCAGAAAGTACTCCCAGCACTCTAAAGAATTCCAAAGTACGTGAGAATGAGTGTTGGGGTTTCACTAATGGATCTGTTTACCATGGTTTGTTTTCAGCTTCTTTAATGGGAGGGTGTTGGTCTCGGGCTGATAAGGGACTCATGTAAACTTAGGGCTCAGAGATTTCTTCTCTTAAGACATTCCCACTGTGCTGAGCTGGCTTATATTCTCTTTACCTTAAAGCTTTCTTGTGCTTTTAGTGTATTCTTTACTCTCTTTATTTTAACTTTTATCTATTGTGCATTGGACTGTAGATAAAATGGTTTGGGGCAAGGAGAGCACACAGTTGAATGGCAGGTGTATACTGTAATTTTTAAAAGGTGTTTACATTATGTTGTGGAGATAGAACATGAGTAATTCACTAATTTTCTAAAGTAACCATGGCATTCAAGAATTCCCTTCATTCCTGACTTCCTTGATGTAGACTTTTAAATTGTTAAATGCCCTGTGCCAGACTATTCCCAGGTTCTGTGGTATGTTGTCTTAAAAACTATAAGGTTCTCTAATTCACAGACTTCAGAGCTCTTAAAATTCTTCCTGTGTTTTAAGCTTTTTTTAAAAAAAGAATCAGAATTCTTCCAGTATTTTGTGTTCATATAGTATATTCAAGTTTCTGAAATTCTTCTGATTAGTAATGAATAGACAACCTAGTCTTTGGTCCTTCCTTTCCTTTTTTCTTCTTGGAAAAATCAGTTTTGCTAAGCTAGGTGAGTTTAATAGGTATTATTATTTAGGTAAGTTGATGATATCTTGGCTCTTTTCTTATTCAACTAGTACCATTATATAAATTTCCTATCTTTTGATAGGTAGTTGTGATTACTTTGTTCCTAACCCAAATTTCAGGTTCTCTAGCACTTGCTATTCTCTTATACTTTGTCTTTATCATGGCCATCATGATGATGGCCATATAATAATTCTAGAATGATTCTTCTCTCTTAGGTTAGCTCTATAATGATAATATTTTACCTGATGAATATAAATTAAAAGGCTACTATTGATTTCAAGATACCCAAGATTTTCTGCTCGGCTTACAAACTGAGGTGGTCAGGGGCATTAACTGAACACAACATAGTATCATGGCAGCTGATAGATTTAGGGCAGGCAAAGCATGCTGTGCATGCATAGCAGGCATAGCAGCTGCTTCTACTTGTAATATGAGTGGACAGTGTTCCTCCCCTAGAAGTATTTGACAGGATCAGACTGTGGGGAGGGTGGGATCATCCCAGAGCTAATCAAGCCAGGGCTGAGTTTGTTGCTGAGCAGAGAAGCATTGAGCAAACCCCTCATGCTCGACACATCTTAGCGGCTCCAGTGCACAATGCAAGGGCTATTGCTTAAATCTTTTAAGACTCATATCTTCATATTCTTACTGCTATAAATTTTTTTAAAAAGTAGACTGAAAAGCCAAAGTGGAATGAGAACTAAGATCTTGAGCCCAGGCCATCTGGCTGCTTCTTTGTGCCTTGTTAGAGGTCTTCGGAAGAAGTAGTGGGACCTGCAGTAGCAGATGTCCCATGCATGGCCTTGCCACTCGTACATCCACAGTCGCATGGCATTCAGGGAGTTGCCAGCATGCCTGAGGAGAGTTGTCCCATGTTCCTGGACTCCACCTTTTTGTATTTGATTCCCCTCTCTCTCTTTTCAGTAGCATAGCTTGTGTGGGACACTGGAGCCGTTGCGATGGCAGCAGAAGTGTTTTCCCCTTAAAGCCAAGCCCATTATTTTTGATGGAACAGCAGGACGTACAGGGCATGTCTGAAGGGCAGGACAGCTGGCACGGCGGACGACCCACCCCTTATCCCCTGGGAGGTACTCACTTCTTGTGCTTAAACCTAGCTGTAGCCGACTTTTTCTAGGGGGCTTACTTCAGACTGCATTCAGCCCAGCTCTGTGGTTTCTATTACCGGCTGTCTGTTCCAGGAAGGTCCTGAGTGGCTTGCTCCTATTACAGGGCTGGTGCTCTTTGCCTGCCTTATGGCCTTGAGATCATCTTGCCTGGTGGCTATTGGCTGCCCTTATATTTTAATGTAGAGCAGTGGCTTGCTGAATCAGAGAAAATGCCCCTGCCTTTGAGACCATGTTTCTGCCTTTAAGGACAAGAATAATCCGGTTGATCTCAATAACCTCTGAGGTTGACTTAAACTGGTCCCTCTTCTTCCTGAGTAGACCTGGGGTTGTCTTTTCATGTTGCACCCATGTCAAGTTGAGTCATATGTGCCAAAGGAAAGCCTCAGCATTGGGATTATGCTTGGCTTTAGAGCACTCAGGCAGAGTTTTTTTCCAGTTGTTTTTTTTTTTTTTGTTACTTTATAGTGTATTTTTTATTTTCCCTCTTTATTTTATATTTCATTATTTTTTTTTAAACAGTGCTTACTTTTCTGGTGCAGAAAGATTGTTGGGAATAGACAAGAACCAATGTGGGAGTTCAACTTCAAATTTAAAAAACAGGTATGTTGTCTTTTTTTTGCCTTTAGATAATATCTGTTGTAATGAATTTCACTAGATGTCTTGATTCCTTCGTTACTTCTCCTTGATACTTACTATAACAGAGTAATTCAGTTAGGATAACTTTATAAAGAAGAGGGAGTAATTTCCTCAGTCCTAGAGGAAGGCTCTGTTTGGTCTGCTCTCTTCTGCTCTTCTTTTCTTCTTTTTTTGGTTGGTCATAGGGCTTGAACTCAGGACCTGACAGTGTCCTTGAGCTTTTTTGCTCAAGGATAGCACTCTGTCACTTTGAGTCATAGCGCCACTTCCAGTTTTCTAGTGGTTAACTGGAGATGAGAATTTCACAGACTTTTCCTGCCTTGGTTGGCTTTGGCCATGATCCTCAGATCTTAGCCTCTTGAGTAGCTAGGATTAGAGGCATAAGGCATTGGCCCCTGCTTTGTGCTCTTTCTGCTGCCAGAAAGAGCATTCGTTGCACCTGTCAGAGGGGAGAAGCTGACCTCTTACAGCAGAGGTAGAAGGCCAAAAGGGCTGAACTTCCATGAAGTCTCTCCCTGCCCCCACCCTTGGATGGTACTGTGGTTCCCACCTATGCTTTATACTTGCCAGCAGGTACTCTGCTGCTTGATCCAGGTCTCCAACCCTTTTTGTGCTATGTGTGAGTTAGGATCAAATAGTGTTCTTACTATTGTTGGGGCTGGCCTACACAGCCATCCTCTTACTTATGCTTTATGCTGTAGTTAAGATGATGGCCAACATCACCATGCCCAGCTTTTACGTTTGAGGTAGGATCTCAATTTTTTTTTTTAGTGGTTTTTTTTTCTTTATTTTTTTATTGTAAAGATACTGTACAGAGGGGTTACAATTACATGAATAAGGTAATGAGTACTTCCCTATCAAGCATTGTTACCCCCTCCTTTGTTTTTCCCTTACTATTCCCTCCCCGCCCCCAATCTCAATGTTTTTTGCCTAGGCTGGTCTGGAACCACACCATACTGCCAATCTCAGCCTCCTGCATAAATGAGATGTCAGGCATACGCCATGGCACCCAGCTGTAATTGAGATGGGGTCTCACTAACTTTAAAAAAATTTTTTTTATTGTGATTGATTATATAAATTTCACAAATTTCATAGTACTATGAGATAGTGATACTTAGCTGAAGTCACAAACACATTCTAACCTTTGTGAGGCAAATTGTCATTATTGTGGTCTATAAAGTGTGTGAATTCTATGAGCTTTGACAGTACAGCTATTTCTTCCACATTGGGTGAAATGTACCTTTCTTTGCTTTTGCTCAGTGTCAGCTGCTCCCTCCATCCCTCTCACTCCCTCCCTCCCATCGCTGCCCTTGACTTGCTTGCTTTGTTTTCATCAATGTCCAGTGCAGCCGCTGTTGTGGGTTTCCCTGTTTCCTCTATTTCTGTGTCCTCCTCCTAGCTTCCCTCAGATGTGTGCATATATACCATATATGCAGTCAGCAGCATGGGGTCATTTAATAATGAATGGAGGTCCTTTGTTTCTTGAGTCTTGTTTACTTTGGTGTATCGCCAAACATCAACATATTGGGGGGTGGTGTCACTAACTGTTTACCTGGGCTAGTTTTAAACCACAGACCTTCAGTCTCTACCTCCTGGGTAGTTAGTTACAGGTGTGAACTACCAGTGCATATGTAAGTCCTCTTTTTTTGGGGTGTGTGGGGGCGCCTCAGGAGAATGCCAGTCCTAGAGCTTAAACTCAAGGCCTGAGCACTGTCCCTGAGATTTGTTGCTCTACCACTCTGAGCCCTAGCTCCACTTCTGGCTGTTTTTGGTCCTTAATTGGAGATAAGAATCTCACAGACTTTCTTGTTCCAGCTGCCTTTGAATCATGATTCTCGCCTATCAGCCTCCCCGAGTTTCTAATTACAGGTGTGAGCCACGGTTGACAGGCATTAGTCCTTCATTAAGGGCCCTAATCCTATTCATGAGAGACTCCCCCAAGACTCCCCTTCTTAATACTTAGAGATTAAATTTCGAAGTGAATTTTGGCAGGAACACCAATACTCAAACCATTATAATAATAGCTATGAAATGACCGTACTAAGAATCAAATAAGGGTAGCATGGTGGTTCAGGGATAGCACCCAGGCCCTGAGTTCAAGCCATGACCACCAAAAAAAAAAAGCAAAAACAAAAAGAAAACTTACAATAATAATATTGCCATGAAAAGTAAAAGACAACTATTTTGTATTAAAAGACAAAAAGTAGTTTGGGAAGGTCCGGGGTCAGAGAATAAAGAGCTACCGAAGACATTTTGGGGGAATTGAGAATTGAATACGTAGTGGCTATTAAAACAATACCCTTTTTTGCTGATTTAAGAACTCCCTTCCTCTTTCCCTCCTTCCCTCCCTCCCTCTTTCCTTCAAATTGAAACTAAGGGCCTTCTATGTGCAAGGCAGGTACTTTACCACTGAACTGCAAAACCAGCTTTCTGTTGTTGATTTTCTTTCATTCTTTGGTGGTACTGAAGTTGGAACTTACAGTTTGCACTTGCTAGGGAGTACTCATGCCTGAACCAAGGCTCTAACCCTTTTTTTTTTGGTTGGTTGTGGGGCTTGAATTCTGGGCCTGGGCACTGTCCCTCAGCTCTTCAGCTCAAGGCGAGCACTCTACCACTTGAGCCACAGCACCACTTCTGGCTTTTTCTGTTTATGTGGTGCTGAGGAATTGAACCCAGGGCCTCATGCATGCAAGGCAAGCTCTCTACCACTGAGCCACCTTCCCAGCCCCGGCTCTAACCCTTTTTTTTTTTTTTTTGGGTCCGGTCATGGGGCCTGAACCCTGGGCCTGGGCGCTGTCCCTCAGCTCAGCTCTTCAGCTCAAGGCTAGCGCTCTACCACTTTGAGCCACAGCACCACTTCCGGCTTTTTTCTTTTTGCTTATGTGGTGCTGAGGAATCGAACCCAGGGCCTCTGGCATGTAAGGCATGCGCTCTACTACTGAGCCACCTTCCCAGCCCCCATCCAACCCTTTTTAATGTGGTTGTTTTTGAGATAGTCTTAATTTTGGCCAGGCATGTGCTTGGATCTTGATTTGCCTATTGTTAGCCTCTCGATGTAGTTGAGATGACACTTACGTGCTACCATACCCAGCTTCTGTTAAGATGGGGGTCTAAAGACTTTTCTGTTCTAGATTGGCCTAGAATGTTGATCCTCCCAATCTTAATCTTCATGAAGCTAGATGGCATGTATAACACCACTGTACCTAGCTCTAGGTTGAGAATTGGGGATGAGGGTGGTAATCTCATGAACTTTTTCTGACTGGAGTTTGTCTCAAATTATAATCTCCCCATGTTCAGCCCCCAAGTAACTGGGATTATAGGTATGAGTCACTGGCACTTGATTTTGCTGTTGTTCATTTTCTTATATGTGTTAGATTGTGGAATATCTTCATCCTGAGCTGCTTTTGCTTAAAGCTAGCACTCTACCACTTAAACAACAGCACCACTTCTGGGTTTTTCTGTTTATGTGGTACTGAGGAATCGAACCCAGGACTTCATGCATGCAAGGGAAGCACTTGACCACTAAGCCACATCCCTCGCTCTTGGCTTTTTAATGGACATAATCCCTGCAACCACCACATGCTCTTTGTCTACTACTTTAAACTAGACTTTTTTTGGGTTGGAGTTGGGGCTCAAGTGGTAGAACACCTCTGTTTTAGAGGTTTCAATCTGTCATGACAAGGAGGGTATGGCAGAAAAGAATGGTTCATATTATGGTGCTGAGGAAGCAGAGAGAGAGGAGAGAGAGAGAGAATAGGGGGAGAGGGGAGAGAGACCACATGGGCCTGTGCCCACATGCTTCTTCTCTCTTCCTCTTTCATTCCATCTAGGACCTTAGTCTGTTGAGTAGTGCTGCCCACATTGAGGATAGTTCTTACCCCCTCGTGAGGGAAAACACCCTTACACACTCACCTATAGTGTACGTGAATAACTCCTAGTTCCTTCTCAATCCAAGGTGATAAGAATAGCCATGACAGATATATTGCAAATAACAATAATTTATATGCTTTTACATCTGAGATGACTGGGGAGAGGGACTGCCAAAGACTGTTAGAAGAGTAGATAATTTTCTGTTCTGTCTCTGCCTTTTGCTTACATGTACCTGAAATTTTTTTTGCTGGTCCTGGGGCTTGAACTCGGGGCTTAGGTGCTGTCCCTGAGCTTCTTTTTTTTTGTCGGTCGTGGTGCTTGAACTCTGGGCCTGGGCGCTGTCCCTCAGCTTTTCAGCTCAAGGTGAGCGCTCTACCACTTGAGCTACAGCGCCACTTCCGGTTTTCTGGTGGTTTATTGGAGATAGGAGGAGTCTCACGGTCTTTCCTGCCCGGGCTGGCTTTGAACCGCGATCCTCAGATCTCAGCCTCCTGAGTAGCTAGGATTACAGGCATGAGCCACCAGCACCCAGCCCTGAGCTTCTTTTTGCTCAAGGCTAATGCCACACCACTTGAGCCACAGTTCAGTTTCCAGCTTTTTCTGAGTAGTTTATTGGAGACTTTTCTGCCATCAAATTCTGATCCTCAGATCTCAGCTTCCTGAGTAGCTAGGATTATAGGTATGAGCCACCAGCACCTTGCTCACCTGTCTTTATCTTCAGCAGGTTCATTAGCTACCTAGTAGCTTACTGAGGAGACACTACATATACAGTTGTTCCTCACTTAATGGCAGGTGGATTATGATAAACCATATTTTCTTCTTAATGATCTATTGTAAATAACAGTTCTCAGGAAAAACTTTGTCATGTAAAATTTAACATGACAAACACTGGCAATCTGTGATGTCCACTAAACACTGGTAAAAGTCCATCTTTCAGAGGAAGCACTGAGGGGCATTCTTAGTGGAGAAATGCGAGTAGAAACAAAGGTCAGAACTGCAGAAAAGTGAATGCTGAGATTTCCTTGAGTTCTGAGACTTGTGAATCTTTAGTTTTAAAGTGCATGGAATTAGGAGGCCATGCCAGCCCTCGCTTATGTGCAACAAATATTTGTTGGAGGTAGACAAGTGAATTTGCAAGTCTTCAAACATTGCAAATTTTAAGCGTATAGTTTCATAGGAGCTACAAGTTTCTATTTGTTAGCAGATGGTAGCATAGCTTACCAGTACCACTATCCATCCAAATGTTTTCCCTTCTTTTGAAGGGTAGGCATATTTCCTTTATCTCTACGTAGGAACCAATATCTAGGTTGTCACTCTACCACTTGAACCTTGCCTCCAACCTGAAACTAAGATGTCTATACAGAAGAGAAAGAAGGGAAAAGTCATTAGCTTTAGGATGTTCATTGGTGAGTCGTAAGAGACATAAGTATTTTCTCTAGGCCATAAGATTAATTCTTAGTGCTCTTTAGCCCCCTAGGTTAAAGAGCAAGTGTGTGGGACGACTGCAGCCCCCCATTCAGTATGAAGATGTTCACACCAACCCAGACCAGGACTGCTGCCTGCTGCAGGTTACCACCCTCAACTTCATCTTTATTCCAATTGTCATGGGAATGATATTTACTCTGGTAAGTGGGGACTCCATATTTCATCTGTAGACCTTTTTACCACTTCTCACTGTATTTGTAGTTTGAAAGAGATTTGTAATTTTATCATGAAAAAGAAATCTAAACAATAATTAAAAAAAATTCTGAAGCCAGGCACTGGTATCTCATAACTATTAGCTACTTAGGAAGTTGAGATCTGAGTATTAAGCTTTGAAGTCAGCCCACACAGGAAAGTACTTGAGACTCTTTATTGCCAATAAAATACTTAGAAAAGGCCAGAAGTGGTGCTATTGCTCAAGTGGAAGAGCACTAGCCTTGAGCAAAAGAAGCTCATGGACAGTGCCAAGGCCCTGAGTTCAAGCCCAGGACTGTACAACCCCCCCCCCCAAAAAAAAATCGGAAGGGGCGGGGTGGGCTGGAAATGTGACGTAGTGGTAGCGTGCTTGCATGCATGAAGTTAGCCCTGGGTTCTATTCCTTAATTCCACATAAACAGAAAAAGTCAGAAGTGGTACAGTGCTAGTCTTGAGTAAAAAGAAGCTGAGGTACAGTGCCCAGGCCCTGAGTTCAAGCCCCAGGACGGCCTCCCCTCCAAAAAACAAAAACAACAACAATCTGGAAGTGGTGTTGTGGCTCAAATGGTAGAGCACTGACTGGCTTTGAGAGCAAATACTCAGGGACAGTGCCCAGGCTCTGAGTTCAAGCCCCATGACCCACAACAAAAAACAAAAAACTCATTAAACAGAAAAAGCCAGAAGTGGTGTTGTGGCTCATGTGGAAGAACACTAACCTTGAGCAAAAGGAGATAGGGACAGTGTCCAAGGCCCTGAGTTCAGGCCACAGGACTAGCAAAAAATAAAAATAAATGAAAAATCTTGAAATCAGACTTGCATATTAGCAAGTCAGATGTGGGAAAAGTTAGTTATATTTGAGACTATTTAGCCTGCTTCCTTTTTATTTTTTTGTGCAGTACTGGGGCTTGAATTCTGTTCTCAATTAGCTTTTTCCCTCAAGGCTGGCACTCTACTACTTGAGTCATACTTTCACTTCTGGTTTTTTGCTAGTTAATTATTACTCTTTAACTTTTTTTTTTTTTTTTAACTTTTTTTTTTTTTTGGTCGGTCATGGGGCTTGAACTCTGGGCTTGGGTGCTGTCCCTGCACTCTTCAGCTCAAAGTGAGCACTGTACTTGAGCCACAGCACCACTTCCTTGCTAGTTAATTAGAGATAGACTTTTCTGCCTGGGCTGGCTTTGAACCCAAATTCTCAGATCTCAGCCTCCTGACTAGCTAGGATTATAGGCATGTAAACCTGCCTTAATTTTTCTTTTCTATCTTTTTTTGGTCTGTGATGGTGCTTGAGCAAGGGGTCTGGGCTCTGTCCCTGAGCTCTTTTGTTTAAAGCTAGTACTCTAACACTTTGAGCCATTCTCATTTTCTGATGGTTAATTGGAGATAAAATGTCTCCTGGGACTTTCTTGCTTGTGCTGGCTTTAAACTATGTTCTTTAGGTCTCAGCCTCCTGAATAGCTAGGATTACAGGTGTGAGCCACCAGTGCCTGGGTGCTTTGAACCATGTTTCTCAGATCTCAGCCTCCTGAGTAACTACTAGTAGAAGTGTGAACCACTGGTGCCTAGCTGGTTTAATTTTTCTATATTTACAAACATGTTGGTATTAGAACTTATGGGTACTCTTGTGATCTAGACTGAATCATCTCATGGTAAGCTGTAGGAAATCCTGAGTATTAAATTTGTTTTTCCTTTCTAGTTCACTATTAATGTGAGTACAGACATGCGACATCATCGAGTGAGACTGGTGTTCCAAGATTCTCCTGTCCGTGGTGGGCGGAATCTGCGTAATGAACAGGGTGTGCAAGTCATTCTGGACCCAGTGCACAGTGTTCGGCTCTTTGACTGGTGGCATCCACAGTATCCATTCTCCCTGCGGGCATAGTTATTGCTTACCATCCCTTGGGGCACCTCTGAGCCTGGTCCATTAGTAATGAGATCCCGTTTGGAAGGGGCAGCTGGGTTGTATATCTGATTAGTGATGCATGGGCTCTATGGGTTCCTTGGGTTCCTATTACAGGCAGGAGAAGGGTTGAATCACGAAGAAAGACAACTATGATTTATAAACATTTTCATGTAAAATTTGCATTTGAAAGGAGAAACCTGGCCTGTTTTTTTTGTGTGTGTTAAAACCCCATTTGGTGCTATTGAGTTTGTTCTTTATTCTTTTATTCCAGTGAAAATGAATGATCAAGCTCTAGGGAAAAATTAGCTCTGAAATCTTCAAGAAAGGAAGATTTCCTTAGGATTAGAGGAACCCAGCATCCTAAAATTGTTATATTGCTTCAGTGTAGCTGCTCCTCACATTCAAGTGAATATTTTCTCCCTTACCTTTCTTCAGTTCAAATAAAGCAGGTGACAGGGTTTTCAGAATCTTATATAATACTGACTTGTGTATCTTTTAAAAAATAATTCTTGGATACTTATGGTATATTTAATTGATTTGCCAATTTTGTATTAGGTTTTTTTTTTTTTTGCATGAGGCTGATAATGACAATGATTTTGACTTTGTGTCCTTGATTGTATTAGGAACTTAACAATGTCTTTAATGCTTAAAAGTCTTTTCAAATCTGGGGCACATTGGTGGCTCATGCCTATAATCCTAGCTTCTCAGGAGGGCTTGAGATCTGAGGATCATGGTTCAAAGCCAGTCAGGGCAGGAAAGGCCTTGAAACTCTTATCTCCAATAAAACACCAGAAAGCTGGAAGTGGCGCTGTGGCTCAATGATAGAGCCTTGAGCTGAAGAGCTGAAGGGCTGAAGGACAGTGCCTGGGCCCAGAGTTGAAACCCCACGGCTGACCAAAAAAAAGAAAAAAAATTATAATAAAAGGAAAAGAAAGTCTTTTTAAGATAGGTTAAACTATTTCTATTTTTGCTTGAGAAATAATCAGTGACTTACCCAAGGCCTTAACAGCCAGTAAAAGGATTCTGACCCAGGTGTTTTTTCTTTTTGCTGTACTATGACTTAAAAGGCCAGTCTTAGTTTACTTTTAGTAGATGGCAAGAAGGGAATCAGTAGAATATAATTAAAAAGTAAGCTGGGCATCCCTGGCTTACACTTGTAATCTTAGCTACTCAGGAGACTGAGATCTGAGGATCATAGTTCAAATCTAGCCTGAGCAGCAGGGTCAATGAGATGCTCTTACCTCCATTTAATCCTCAAAAAAACCAGAAGTGGAGCTGAATATCAACTGGTAGAGGCTAGCCTTGAGCATAAAATCTAGGGACAATGTCCAGGACTGGTACAAATAAATAAATAATGAGCAAGTAAAAGTTGGATTATGGTGTACTTTTATCCCTGATAAATCTAAAAAGTATGTTAAGATTGATGAAAGAATCTTCTAAATATATGTATTTTAAAGGAAAATGTGAAACCAAGAAAGTTATTTGAGGAAGATAGTGGCATTTCCATTATGTTGTTAGGCATTTCATCTAAGGTCATTTTTAAAAAATGCACGCACTGCATGTTGAAATCAACGTTAGAACCATCAGCACTTGGTGGCTTTGCTCTATCCTGTCCTGCACTCTGCTGCCTCTGCTTGTCATCCTGTGTGTCTACAGAGCCCGGCATTTTGTCCTCCAAAAATTCCAATGTCCTTTCTTTGGTCAAAATACTTCCTAAAGATGGTGTACTCAGAGAATCATGGGCTTTTTTGGTTTCCTAAGAAGATAATCTTGCTGCTTCCTTCAAACCCCCAAATTAACCTGCGAACTGGGTATTATTTGAAGATTGATACTGACAATCTTCCCTCCCTCCCTCCCTCCCTCTTCTTTTTCTTTTTCTTTTTTTTCTTTAATATGTAGCTCAGTCTAGCTCCCAACTCAGTTGTCCTGCCTCTGACTCTGCTGGGATTATAGTCATATACCCCTAGCTCAAGTTAAGACAATATTTTTTAAACATGAAAATCTTGTGGGGGCAGATTTTATTGTGAGCAAAGTGCTACATTATGATTTTTTTCCCCTGCCATTATCCCCACCCTGTGCTATTTAAGGAATGTTCTCAGGAGTCATCTGTTTATTACTGCTTCTGACAGCTAGCCTTACAAGCTAGCCTTGGTGGTGGCACTAAAGCTGTTGACAGTGAGTCTGGGTCAGTGACAAAAGCAAACAAAAGGCTTAAGGACAGATCGCTGCAATCAAAAATTGTCCTCTTTGAGGCAGAAGGAAACAAGACAGAGTCCTTAGTTCCTGAACAAAGGATGGCTTAGAGCTGGAGGAAGTTGTGTAGATTGTGTGTCCCCCACTTAGGAGTTAAAAGGGGGGGGTGGAGGAGAAATAAATGTGACTCAGTAATTGTGCTTTGACCTGAGTTTTTGTACTGATTCTGTCTCTACTGGGTCAGGTTATTATGGCTTTTGCATTCATTCCTTGAGTTGCTTCTTCCATTGTGATTCATGTTAGGGAAGGGAAGTGAGGAGAGGTTAAAACCTGTGTAATAATTTTCACTTCTTTGAAATTTATGTGTAATTTTGCTAGTAGGGCCACAGAAAATAATAGATTGAACTTCAGCTTCCTCACCCCAGATAACAGAATTACTCAGACTTCTTGCCTTTTTCCAAAGATGCAAGGTAACTAAGCCCCAGCTTAGTTAAGATAATAAATGGAAGATGGTGTGTATGCTGCTGTCACAGCCTTTGCTGTTGTGTACACTTTGCAAGTATACGAGAATTCCTCGCACCTGAAGCAGTGCTATTTGGGTGTTCCTCAAGGATTGAGTAGGCACCATGGTGAAACAGCACAGACCGGATGGGAGACCCGCCAAGGGAGGCTAAGCCAAAACGAGTCCCTCAGACATGCGGCATCATGGCGCGGGCACAGCAGACAAGCTGCCCTCCGCACTGGCGGCCACCGAGCGCCACGGGCACCCACCTGGATTGCAAGTTCCTTCACCTAAGTGGGTGGGAGAGGGTGTGTGACAGGTGACAAGCCACTGCCAGTCTGGGAAGATGGGTAAGTACAAAGGGAGGAGCGGGGTGCGCCGCACCGTCGGCCTGGAGGCTACGCTCCGGCCAGGTAAAGCCGGGCACAACCAAAATGGCGCACAGCATCAAACCGGTACCCTGGTCACGTGCTGGGCCGGGGAGCGCCCGGGGTGGGAGGCGTGGTCTGGGAGATGGCCGGCCCCGCCCCCGGGGGTGTGGCCTGGAGGGAGGGGGCGGGCCTGGAGGCCGGGCGCCGAGGCGGCGGCGGAGACTGCAGCTCCTGGGGCAGGCGCGCGGGGCTCCCGGACTTGCGCTGCCCGGGCCGGGGGCGGCTCCCTGCGGTCTCCAAGCGAGCGAGCGCGGCTGCCCGCTACGGGGCCTTGGCGGCTGGCAGGTGAGCGCCCAGAGCCGGGCGGGGGGGCGTCTCTTTCCCGGCCCCGGCGCCCCTCCGCAGTTTGGGGAGGGGTCTGGCTAGTGCGCCCTTTACTCCGCTGTGTCTCCGCCCTGCTTCGATGCTGCCTCCTCCGCCGCCCCTGCCAGCCTTGGCGGTGCCCTGTGCCCTTGGGGATGAGAACGGGGGCCGGCCGGGGCCCGGCTTGCAGCGAGGGCGTGGAGTTCGCCCTGGGCTTCGTGGGCTCTGTGGGAGGGGGCCGAGTGGGCTAGTCTCCCGGGTAGAAACTGAATGCGTTGCGCCCCAATTTCCCCTCCAGGAGAGTCAGGAAAAAGCGTCTCGTGAGCCAACTCTGCTCCTTGGGGCAAAGCGCTTCGGAGGGGCTGAGGAGGTCTTCGTGTTTCCCGGGGCGTGGGGGGGGGTCTTAAACCCTCCTGTGCGCATGGTTACGCCCCGCGTTCCAGTCGCCAGTTATTCATTCCCGGAGCTGCCAGACTCAGGTTGTGCCACGGATGCCTCCATCTCCGCAGTGCCGGGGCGGTGAGGTGGAAGGAGCGGCCGACCCGAGGCCTGGTGGGGGTGGGGACGGGGGTGGGCGCATCAGGAAGACAGTTGGGATGGAGATTCCTGAACTGGAGGTGGGAGTGGGGAGTTTGTCCATGCAGCGGGGCGTGGGGGGTGGGGGTGGGTTAACAGTGCGGATGTGGAGGTTTTGATGGTGGGTGGAAGGGTGAGTTTGGGCTAGAGGGCTTGGAGACTGGTGTGGACGATTTTCTTTGAGAAGGAGGATGGCTTCAGGACAGTGCTGGTAGGTGCTAATGTCACCTTTGAATAGATATTTGCTAGTAATATTCATTAGAGGGGTAGAGGAGTTGAGGTTGTTATTTAGTTCTGCCAGGGAGAGCAAGGGGTTAAGGAGCAGGCTCTGCTTAGCATGGTGAAGCCCTTCCTGGTGTGAGCTTAAGGGCACACCTCCAGCAGGCAGGTTTCAGGGACTTCCTGCAGTCTTTTTTGAGGTGATGGAATTGTACTGAGTACTTTGTTCAATAACCAATGAACATTTATTGGGCACCTGCTGTATACCAGACATCATGCCAGGGGCTTGGTCTTCTAAAGGCTGCTTACAGGTACCCTCTGAGTAGGCTCAGCATGTGATCACTCCCCTCTTCTACACACAGTTTAGGTACATTGCAATTGGTTTAGCAAGAGAAAGACCGAGCCCAAATGGATTGCAACCAATGCAATCTCTACCATTATTAACTGGTTGGGTACTCCCAGAGAGGCCGCCTTAGCAAAACAGACAGCTTGTATCATTTCCCTTAGTTATTTCCTCAGATTTTGCACTGGCGTAAATGGTATCTCAAAGTAATGCGGTGATGGGCGGCACAGTGGTTTCTGGGGACCAGGAATATGATAGACACTGCATAGTGGGAGATACCATCTGAAAGATGGGAGCGCGTGAGGGATGGGGAAGAGGGAATTTCATCTGGGGGTGTTTGGTTGTGTGCTGCTGAGCATGTCATGATGTCACACTCTTTGAGGTCTGGCAGCTGCATTGTAAAGGAGGGATGGAGGGGTGGGGCAGGCAGGCTGGCTTCTGGGTCCCCTCTCTGAGTTGATTACTAAAAGCTTAGAACTAGAAAAAGTTACTAGAGATTGCTGTGGGGGTCTTTCTAGCCTCTGAGAATAGCAGAGCTACATCTGGGGTGAGGATGAGTAGTTGGGCTAGGGTGGCAATGAGGAGAGGAGTAAAGGCTTGGGGGGGGGGTCAGGTGATGGGGTGGTGTTAATATACAGGGGAGCCAGTGGAGGCCTTGCTATGGTAAAGCTACCCCACCCCTAGACCTTAGGTTCTATTGTGTTGAATTGGCACAGGAGTTGTTGTATAAATGAGATGCAATGTGTGGACTGAGTGATATGTAGAATTGTGTGTGTGTGTGTGTGTGTGTGTGTGTGTGTGCTGGGGAGGAGTAGTGAGAAGGGAAGACTGAGGGAGTGACCATTGACTCAGAGTTTGGGCCCCAAGTAGAGAATTGGTGGAACTGGAGGGGAGGGAACGGGGGT